TGCCTGCAATCTCCTGGTAAGGGAGTTGTAGAGGGAGCTCGTGGCACAAGGTAAGGACACATTTGGACCTTATGTGTTTGCCAGTCTCAGTGTTTGGGGCCTGACATCGTTTTAAAGATGCCCTCTTTATTTAAATTGACTTAGTCTCCATGTTAAATAATTCATGTTGAGTTAGGAGGCTTTGTTTCTAATGGGAGCCACAAGACAGCAGCAGAGTTAATATTAGAACAGGCCAGGAAGAAGAGGGGAAAGGAAGGAAGACTGGAAAATACCCTTTTGAATAATTACTCTGATATCCACCACCCTCCCTACCTACTTCTAGTCCCCTTTACCCTGCTCTACTTTCTCTTTCTCATAGTGTTTATCCCAGCTGATGTCCCACATCACTACGGGGTGTACTTGTTTAATCTGTTTATTATTTATGACTGTCTCCCTGCTACAACACACACTCCCCCAGGGCAAAGGCTGGTTTTCTCTTTTGTTTATGGGTGAATCTCAAGTGCCTAGATCAGTGTGTGGCACATAATCGGTGCTCGGTAAATGTTTGTTGATCAAATCCGTGGCACCCATTTCCTCCCTGCTCTGGGTTCCTGAACTCCTTGCTTCCTGTTTCCAGGCAGGTGGAAAGATCAGGTGCAATATCCCTCTAAGGGCTCTGGAACTGGAGTAGTTTAGATATTTTCAACCCTGGGGTTCCTGCAGGGGGAGGAGGAGCGGCCTGTGTGTGCGCGCGCGCGCACGTAACTTTAAAGCGTATGGCACTTCAGTATGAGTGTGTGTTAGTTTGATGCGCACAATAATTCTAGGAGATTGGTATTTTTATTATTCTCATTTTATAGATGAAGAACCGGAAACGCCATTCATTCACTCACTCCATCCATTCATTCATTGGCTCACTCATTAATTTAAAAACCTCAGATATTATTGAGGACCTACTATGTACTAAGTTCCAGTTAAAGAGAACTAAACCAGAGGCCCAGTGCCAGCCTAAGAATATGCCCGAGGTCACATAAGGAGTGAGCTGCATGCAATTATTCCTCTTCTCAGCCAAGGCTCTTTGTCCCATACCCCAGCTCTGCACAGGTGCATGGGGGTCTATGACAGCCAACTAAGCTGTGTCTCTGCAGAGATGGCTAGGGATGGGTGGAGGCAGAATACAGAGGAGGACTCTGGTTTAAGGTGTACAGCCAACTTCAGAATCCCAGGGCTGGACAGAATTTGAAAGATTTAATCTCCAGCCTCACAGTGGGACGCTGTCTACAACATCCTAACCTTCTCTGCTTCAATTACCACATGAATCCCTGGTCCAGTGCAGGTTAGAGATTTTCCTAAAATAGTTGGTACAGTGTGTAGGTCCTTTTTGTGGAAGTCATGCCTTTCGGAAGCTGGACAGCTCTTAGAGATCGTCTTATTTATCACCACTTTCATTTTACAGTTGAGGCAACTGAGCCCCAGAGAGGTTGATTAACAGGGCCAAGATCACACAATTGGTTAATATAGGACCAGAACTGTTGCCTCCCAGTCTGATGCTCTGTCCATGATACCATGATTTCCAGATGTTCTTGGGGAAGAAAGACGCATGTCTCGACCTGGCTTGAGTCAGAGCATGGTTCTTGGCTGGCCGGGTCACAGAGAAAATGCATCCTGCCCGTTAACCTGGACTGGGTTCCCCAGTCTTCACCTGGCTCAGCCTCCCAAGTGCAGCCCCTGCCCCCTCTTCCCCTCCTAGTCCCCCAGTTCCATCCCTCCCTCTGCCTCCCGCAAATGCTCAGCTCAGAGTTGCTCCTTGCCTGATTGCATCTGAGAGCTGGAAACACAAGGCTAATTAATGTGTCTGTGACTCTAGGCTTGGCTGCTGGGCCTGAGTCCCCATGCCCTCTTTGGGGCTCAGCAGGCTCTGTGAGCTGGCCCTCTGGCTTCTCTGAGCGATGCTGGCAGATGCATATTTTCACAATGCACATCTGTTGGCTATATAATCTCTAGTATTTGCCCTCCTCACTTGGTGCTTTGATGGAAGACCCCTGGGGGTCTCCCTCTGTTCTAGCCAAAGTGTTTGCTTTGCAATTTTGCCAGAATACCATCTGATTCTGCTCTCATATCTTCTGCAGGTTCTAATCAGGCTCTTACTTTATTTAATTAAAAATCGATCTCAGGCAAATACAGACTAAATTAGGAAGCTCTCTCACTCCTGGAACACAGGGAATGCAGCCCTCCCCCGGCCCCCTTGGGGAACTGGGACATTTTCCCAGACTGAGATGTCACAGCAAAGCAGATGGGGCCTTGGTTGGGAAGCCGGCTGGCCATGGCAGAAACACCCCTCTCCCCTCTGCTGGAACAGTCTCTCTGACTATCCACCATCCTGGACAGACCAGGGCTCCCTTTCCAGAAGGCCGGGCGGGCTTCTGCACACAGGGCCTCCCTCCAGGGCAGTAGATGGGGCTGTATACCACAGAGAAACTCAGCCAGGCTCGGAACCTCGGACAGAGCCCTGCAGGACCAGCTCAGGGGTGAGGACCTCGGGTGGCCCTGAAGAGTCAGGGAAGACTGTGGGCAGAGCCTGGGGGAAGCTTTTTCTTGTTTAGGTGGAATGGTTTTCATGGAGTCTGCCTGAAGGGTCCCTGCTCAGGCTTCTTTTCCAGCTCAGAAATTTCAAGGCCAGCCTGCTGGGGCCTGCTGAAGACACCCGCTTCTGCCTTTTCAACTGATCCCCAGACTTGAATAAAACGTCTCTCCCGCACAAATCCAGCTCTGTACCCAGAGGCAGTGCCAGGCCATGGCACTGGAGGAGGAGAAGGACAAACAAATGGCATTCAGATGTACCCACGACAAAGTCCAATCTGTTCAGAGCAGACCCCGAGGCTGTGTATCAGAAGCCTGGCTCTCAACCAGCCAGACAAAGGAGATTCTATTGTTAGAAATGTGGTGACTTGGAGCTGGAAAATCTGGCATCTATATTGAGTGTAATTAGGCTGTGTGACCTTCTGTGAGTGCCTTTGCCTCTCTGAGTCTCGATTTCCTTACCTGTGAAACATCTGGAATAATTTGGACTTTGTTATCTAAGTATGATAGTAGAAGGAAAGGAATCTGTAAATACTTGGTTATGACTGGCGAAGTTCTGACACCAGGACAACAGCTTAAGGACGAGATGTCTATATTGAGTGTAATTAGGCTGTGTGACCTTCTGTGAGTGCCTTTGCCTCTCTGAGTCTCGATTTCCTTACCTGTGAAACATCTGGAATAATTTGGACTTTGTTATCTAACTGTGATAGTAGAAGGAAAGGAATCTGTAAATAGTTGGTTATGACTGGCGAAGTTCTGACGCCAGGGCAACAGCTTAAGGACGAGATGCATCTCCATCTATTTTAGGTCCTGCATGAGGTCACGGGTGGGCAATGCTTAGGTTCTTCTCATTTTAGCGTTCTTTGGTACCCGCTGGCAGGAACAAGATAGCAGAAGGCAGATTCTTCTGAGAATGGAGGCTGAATAACCTCTGATGATGAAGATCCTACAACTTGGCTTAGGAAATCTGTTCTGGCATTTGCAATCCTCAAAACCCAGAAAATGTATTAGGTGCTAAATCCTCCTTCTCTCCTCCCTCCACCCCTGTACCCATTCCCATTTCATCCGCCATCTCAGGAGAGATGGACACGGCTGCCACGCCCTTCGACGTCCCTGATTCCTTTCCTAAAGGCCCACGTCCTCGCCATGCAATCCCAGTTTATTTACCCTGCCAGACCCAGTTTATGTTTCTCATTCCTTTCATTGTAGGCCAGAGGAGACTCAAAGGTTACCGGAGGTTCTGAGGTTGGCTCTGAGTTCCTCCTCTCTATCTCAAGAAGCCAGCCTCCGCGCTTGGTAAGTGGTCCTCCGGGGCCTGTCTGCTGCCGAGCTCGGGCTAATCTGGCCGTGTGTTGGCCGTGTAGATCTGAAGATAACCTGACACACTCTTAAATATTTCATCTTGGCGCAGCCATGCGCCTTATCTACCAGGCGAGGAGGCAGCATCCCCGCTGCTGACTCTTTTGTCAAAGCTTCTCGACAGCTGCTGAGGGGCTTGGAGGGCTGAACCTGGACTCCCCTCTTCTGGCTGCTGAGCTCCATCCCTCAGGCGGCCTGGTAGGGACTTCCTAAGGGGGCAGTAAGGTGGTGCATGGAGCCCTAGTGGGGAGACCCTTTGCTTCATCTGGGGCAACAATCCTGTCCTGTATACTTGCATCGGAACAGCTGAGAAAGTATAAGTGAAAGTGCTTCGAGAGTTGCTGTCAAGGGCTATGCAAATCGAGCCATGATTACTTCTGTGCAAAGCTCGGTTCCCAGGGAGCCTGGATCCTCAGTAACATCTGGCTGGAGGGAGGAGGTGACAGGGGTGAGGCAGTTTAAGGGGTAGTGAACCCATTCCCTGTCTTCAGTCTGATCTGCTCAAGTGAGGGACGGGGACCTCTTCAGGCAGGATGTCCCAAGGACACTGGGCTCCTGGGAAGCCGAGATGAAGAGCGACCAACGGAAAAGTTACGATCTGGAATAAGAGCCTGATGTGAGTTTTCCTAGGGATGACGTCGGCAGCCCAGGGTTCCCAGGAGCAGGGAAGGGCATGAGAAACGGGGCAGCAGTGGTTCCTAAGGGTGGTGAAATCACTGTGTCCCATTCTTCTCTCTATCTCTATCACCTAGCACAGGGCCTGATACATCACACTTGCAGAACATGTTTTCTGATGAATAAATGGGCACCCAGGAGACCTTATTGACTCCCTAAGCTGGAGTCAAACACGCTGGGGTTGGACAAGGTCATAGGTAAGTTGGCATCGGCCATCTGATTTTCAGAGCAGGAACTTTCACTTTTCTCCTTTTGGTGGGGAGGGGGTGACTGACACAATGTGGGATAATGCTTGCGGGCTTTGCCCAGTGGGTTCTCTCTGCAGTTGGGCTGGAAGGAACCCTTCTGTAGCTGAGCCCATGGTTCTTCCCATAGTATCTGAGCCCCCACGTGTGGACAGTTCTTACCTAGGACGGTGAGGCGTGCGGGGCGGGACCGGATGGCAGCCTGGATGGCCTGACACTCATATACAGCATCATCTTGCAGCTCTGCCCGCAGGATCTTCAGGTGATGTTCCCCTGACAGGTGGTTCCCTACCACCAGGTACTGTGGGTAACCTGTGGAGACAGCAGGCATATTAAGGGGGCTGGTCTGGGGGTGGAGGGAACGCTCATGACAAACAGGCACAGCGGTGACACATCTGAACAGGGGCTGGTCTGTCTTAGAGGCTGGCAGAAGGAGCATCTGCTCAGGGCCCTGATCTCAGCATGAGGAGCACAGAAACGAGAGTTTCCCCAGGGTGTTGGGGCAGAGTTTATGCGTATAAGGGAATTGTCAGTTTTAAGTTCAGAAATGTTGGAGAAGCTATTATTGTAGAGGGAGGAGAGAACAGAGAGGGCAATGCTTATGTGGACAGACACAGCGGGGTTCTCACTCTGGAAGGTGGTGTGCTCAGCACCCTGTCGACCAAGTAGGCATGCCTTTGGATAAGGACACACACAGAGAGACAGAGAGACCCAGGCTGAGATCCACAAACAGACAGAAGACGGAGTTAGAGAGAGAGAGAGAGAGAAGGAAGAAAACAGAAATATTGGGGAAAGGATCAAGAGTGACTCTGGGGAAAAGTTTTGTTTGAGGATGGACAGGAAGTAGATATCTAGGCCCACCCTACTAGTGCCCAGGAAGCGCTGGTCACTTTGAACCATAAGTGGCCTTTTTCTAGTCACTCCTTCTACCCGCCTCCAAACCCCAGGGCCTGATTAAGCACTTATGAGGTGCTCAAGACCCTTAGAAATTTGGGGCCCCTGATACCACTGGAGTTGAATAATAAATAAATAAAAGCTTGAGCATGATTAATCATCAATCAGTTTTCTTGCTGCTGTTTAGGGTTGAATATAAATGCCAGCATGAGTCATAGCTGGCCAGGTTGGGCAGATACTCTCTTTCTAGGGTCTTGAGCCTTATACCCCCTTAGTTTCTCTCAACAGGATCTGTTTTCCACCCATTCCCTTACCTGAGCTCTACCCCTTCCCCTTATCAGTCCCTTACAGGCTACTTCTTCCCTGTCCTGGTCTCATTCTCTCTTCAGAGGCCCGCCCACCCTCCGGCAAGCCCCAAATTGCTCCTCTTTTGGAAGAGCCTTCACCAGGACAGTGTATGTTTTCAGAAAGATGTCATAGGAGGAGGGGATTGGTCACATTTGGCCTTTTAAATAAAAGACTATGGCTTTAGTAAGTGAGAGACAGAAACAGAGACAGACAGAGGGATATGCAATAACTTTCTTCAGATATTTCAAAGCTCTTAGTGTGGGTGAGATGTGTGTGTGTAGCTCCCAAGGACAGCATTAGCACCGATGGGCAGAATTAACATGGGGAAATACTTTGAGAATATTGTTAATGATTTGAGGTAACCAACAAGAATTTGGGCTGCCAGAGGTGATAGTGAAACCCCCATCACTGACTGTATTCAAACACAGGTTGTATGATTATCTGTCAGGGACGCTGCAGAGGACATTTCTACCCTGCTTAAAATTTTGAAAGTCTAAGGCCCCTTCCATAAAATAAGGGTCTTTCAGAGGTGGGGTGGGGCTTCCTGGGGGTGGGCTGTCCAGGGGCATCTATTCTTGGTCCCTGGAGGTAGCTGTAATCCTCTGCCAGATTTCCCAGCATGACTTTTGGGTGTTTCTTGTGTAGCTGAGGCCTTCAGGCTCGTGTCTTCATGGCTAGCTTTGTCCCTATCATGCAATCAAATGGCTCATTCCTCCACAGCTGTTCAGGCCTGGCCAGAGATGCTCACAGGACATTCAGCTGTACTCCTGAGAAAGCAGCGCCTCCCTCCTGCCCTCTGCTGGGCTTGGGGAAGGAGCCCAGGTAAGTTAAGCTGGCTCTCTCTAGTGCCAGGGTGAGGGTCTGGAAATGGATTCTAGCCCAGTCTCCTTCCTGATGCTTCTACCCCAATGTAGCTGGCTGACTGTGCCAACCCCTCAAGCCCAGCCTCTGGATCCTGCTGTCCTGTGATTAGTCCCTGGTCTCCCGCAAGCATCTTGGCTGGAGCCTGTGTTTTTGTTGTCTTGCAAGTGATCAACACAACGATTTTGCTCTCAGGAGCTGCTAAAAACATCAGTGATGGGTTTGTTTGTATTTGCCTAATTAGGCGACGAGCTGTGATGTTATCCCAAGGACTGGCAGTATCTTTGGAAAACATTTGTCCAGAAGCATAGATTCTGAGGAATTTCTAGCTCCCTCCACAGTATCATTACTCTCTCTTGCTATTCTCAGGAGAGGCAAAATTTTTGGGAGTCTGGGTTCTACAGTCACATTTCCTGGGTTCAAAGGCCAGCTCTGTCACTTCCTAGATGGGTTGTCTGGGGTTAGTTACTTTCACTTCTTTGTGCTTCCTTATCAGTAAAATAGGGACAATACTAGTAGTATCTTATAGTGTTCTGGTGAAGATTAGACAGGATAATCTCGGTAGAGTGCCTGGCACATAGTAGGGAGGTAGTCTATAAATACTGGTTTAAATAAAAGTGACCGTGAGGTAGGATAACCAAAGAGGTCCCCATCTTTTTAAGTGAAAGCAGATTGGGTGCCTGGGCCTTTTGGGGGTTAAGAGCCAAGGTCCCAGGCACTGGGCTTTGGTATATGTTTAAATCAATATTTTTTTCTCAAATGTGACTCTGTTTACCTGTCACATAAAGAGGAAAATCCTTCTTTCTCCCTGTAGATCGTTGTAGATTTATGAGAGAATGTCTGTATATTTAGAAATCACTTCCTTTGACTGTTTTTTTTTCCAGATGTAGTGACCAGAAAAGTAGTGAGGTCTTCAGTTAAGGCATCATTTCTGGTAGACTGAATGGGCCACACAGTTAAAGTAGAAGATGGCAGAGCTGCAGCGGGTGGAAGTCCCATAAGACAGCATCGGTTTCCCCATAGAAAACGGGTGCGGTATTAAATGCTCCGCAAATACTTGCTGAAGTAAACTGGGATCTATTGCTCTCACTTTCCTATCATTATTTATTGGGCATGTAAGTATCTGTCATTACTGTCATGATGCTATTTTGGGGGTAGGTGATCAAATACAGAGAACACACTTTATCAAGAGTTCGAGTTCATTGGCTCTGCAAGGAGAGGGCAAACCTTTCTGTAAGTGGAGTCAGGTGGGAGAGGAAGCTGATAGAAGTTCATCACTTAGCACTTAGCAGGAGCTAACGCTGGATCCCAAAAAGCCATTCATGGAAATGGTTGCCAGAGGCTCCGTGATCTGTGCGGTGATGACCAGTGTATGAGCCATCCATGGTGACCTGGGACCTCTTTTTGGCCACCGACTCAACAAGACCCCAGTTTCTGACTGAAGGCTGAAAACCACTGACTAGGAATCCTGAGAGGCTGTTTAACTAGCAATAATCCTGGGCCCAAGTCAGGACCATGCAGAGTATGAACGATTCTAGTCTGGTTAGGTTCTGTCCTTCCTCCAGTTTCTCTAGGGTAAAGAGAATTCAGAGTCCCTGAACATGGCTGGTTCCCACAGTACTTAAATTTTATAGCAGAGCCATATATTTTGGAGATATTATTGTATATTTCATCCACGCTCAGCTGGGCTGCAGCACTCAAACCGTATGATGCTATTGACCATTGCTATAATGTTTCAATACACATTTTTGGCCAGACATAAATCACATTTTTAAATATTAATTCCCCAACCACATGTTGCTGAGTGCACTTCGATTTTTACTTTCCTGCAGCTGTACACCACAAGAGAGGCAAAGCGACTTCTCAGTCGAATATACGTTTTTCTTTTCTCCCCCGCCCTCAGTTACTCCCCGATGGGACACCCAGGTCCTTTGTTCTGAATTTTACTGTTTATGCTAAACTTAGTGAACAGTCACGTGCCTCTCATCCCCAAGGGAGAATAATAATGGTGAATGGTGAGTGACCAGGAAGATGATTCCATTCTTTTTTCTGCTGGGGCAGAGAGTGGATTATTAAGACATCTCTCTGGGTTTAAAGACTGACATTCACAGTGGTTAATGGATGACTGGGCATGGCACCAGCCAGGGTGCTCAGATGCCAGCCATCAATGGCCTCAGGAGCCCACCAGTGCATCTTTGATGAATACCAGCTGGGTGGGCCGAACAAGGTTTGGAATTTATTTCAAACACTTCTTTTCTTTCCATCACATGGTGGCCCCTAAAATCACCAGGCTTCTTTGTCGGCTTTCAATCTATTTGGCTCCTTTTGATGGATGGGAGCTGGGAAGAACAAGGAAGGCTGTGACTTCAGTGAGGATATATTTTGGACCAAGAAACAACACTTTCTCCTTGGAAATGTGACTTTGTGTGAATCATGTTTGATTTTAGAATAGACCCTTCAGGGTAACATTGTTTTAGGTATAGCACTGATCACCAGAATTGAGGGTTCAATTGTAGTTCAGTTCCAGTGGTCAGAGAGGCCTTCGACGTCCTCTGGATCCTGGACCTGGGGCTTGCCTCGCCTGATTCTGCCTGTGAGATCTGCACTGACAGCTGGAGATTTAATGCCCAAACACCTGTGAAGATAGGGTTCCCTAGGAGGGTAGGTGGGTGGGTAAGGCAGGGATGGGTTCCAGGTCTTCCCGGGGAAGTCTGGGGGTACTCACTTGAGAGGTCCCTGCCCACACCCAGAGCCAGGCCGTCTTTGATCCACAGAACGAATCCATCATATTCTGGGATGGCACACAGCAGGGTCACTGGCTGCCCCGACACCACAGCCTGGTCCTGGGGCTGCTGGCTGAAGGAGTACACTTGGCCTAGGAAGGAGACAAGCACAGCAGTCAGTTACAGCAGGGAGCTGCATCTCCTCAAGCTATGGAAGCAGAGCCCGGGCAGGTCTACGGGACAAGGTGCCCCCAGAACACCTCATGTCCTGCCTGGGGGTCAGCAGCAGCTTCTTCACTGTCCCCAACTTATTCTCTTGCTGGCTCCCAGCTGCAGCCTCGTCAGTCCCCAACTGACGTGCACACATACCGTGGTCCAGCCATCTTCCTGCACCCAAACAGGCCATGCTCGCCACCTGCTGCCTTTGGAACATGCGTCTCCCTTTCCATTTGGCTAATTCCTACTTAACATCACTTGCTAGTGCCCACTTCCACTACAGGACAGAGGAAGGACAGAGACCCCCCAACTGGCAGCATTCTGTGGGGGCTGTGGGGAGTAGCGTGATTTGATTAATCCTGAGAATACAAGAAACAACATTATCGTTCTGATGGCTCCAGGATGGGATGAGGATGTGACCAAGGGATCCTGTCATGGTCTTCACACTGTGAAGACCATCCTCCCTGTCCCTTCCTTTTCTGCATCAGATCCTATTTTAGCCTCACCGTTATTTGGGAGAAAGTCATGACTATGACTTCTCCATATATAACTCAAAGAGAGCCTGCCCCGAACCCCCTAAGCTAGCCAGTTCAAATTTTATTAAACAGACACGACTGCAGAGTGTACCACATGCCAGGCATTGTTCTAGGATTGAAAATATTAGCTCATTCGTATTTTCATCCTCATACCAACCTGTGAATTAGGTAATATTTTTATTCCATTTTCTAGATGAGGCACAAAAAGGTAAAAATAGTCACAGGGGCCGTGCTCATTACTTACTTCCCAGGTGCTGAGTGTGCTTCACCTTGAGCTGTTGCAGCACCCACAACACCCTGTGGACCTTACCAACCCCATTTCCCAGGAGATTAGGACCCGCAGCCTTAGAGCTTAACTCAACTATCCAGGGAGCATCTAAGGTCAGGACCAGGGCTGTGAACCCAAGACTTTCTGGCTCCAAAGACCATGTTCTCATCTACTGGGCTATGTTGCACACAGATCCCCAATCCTAGTCCTGGAGGGGTTGTTGAAGAACATGACTGCATTCCTGGGAGGTCACGGCTGAATGGACAGTGGGACAACGACATTTACTGATCTCCCACCCATAGTGCAGTCAACGCTTCACATGCCCTCTCTCCTATAGCGCATTTAATTATATGTCAGGGCAGAAATATCCTATGCTATAGCAAAGAAACCAGGATCAGAGAGGCAGAGGAACCTGCCCAAGGTCACACAGCTAAAGAGTGGTGGAGCAGGGGTTTGATCTGAATTCCACTGACTTCTGAGCCCTCATCCTTTCCCACACTCTGTTCTGCAGGTCCAGATAGACAGCCCAGGAGAACTGGCCATGGCTTCTCCTCCCCAACCTGGGAGAGTCAGGATGGTCACAGAGGTTCTGGACACCGGCTGTCACCTACCTTAGGGACACAAAGCCCCAGGCTCAGACCACAGATGGTGTCGAACTCTCAGTAGCAGATGGCTCTAAGAAGGGAGCAGCAGGCATGTAGCTCTGAGAGGAGCTGGGTGGTGGCATAGCGTGTGGGGTGACCCCAACAGGAGAGGCTAAGTCCCCATGAGAGAGTTTGTGGCAAGTGGGCAGGTAGCTGAATCTACAACCTGATGAGATCTTGGCTGGGTCTCTGAGGAGTCTCATTAACAATCAGGTTGGCCCTGAATTGTAGGAGTAACACTTTTTATTCTGATTTGAGCTTTACAAATTAGATTTCATAGGACATTTTAATCAGCTATGTGTGGTGTTTTTCTTTCCCCCCTCTGCGTCTTCAGGTTTTCCGTTGCAATTAGACTGTTTCTGGCATGAAAACAAGAGAGAGAAAGAGGGAAGAGCCTGGAGAAAGACCAAGAGGGTGAGGGGTGGGGTGAGGAGAGCAAGAAAAAAGAGGGGCTGGAGAGGAAGGAGAGGAGCCAGAGGCAGAGGCAGAGAGCAGGGAGAAGAGAAGAGAGGGGTGGGGGAGAGGTGCTGCGACTGAGAGTTGGGTGGGGGCGGGAGAGGGGTGCGGGTGGTGCTGGTGGTGGTGGTGGAGAGAACATTCCTTTTTGAGGCTCTTCTCTGGGCTCCAATGGCGACGTCTCAGCTCATTCTTTTCTCCAAAAAATCTTTCTTGAAAGAAGGACAGTGACAAGACAGCCGCAATAGCTGCCAAAGATTGTGTTATCAGAGAGAATTATCAGGCCCACTTTCTTTCCACCCACGGGACAGACCTTGAGGCCTTTCCTTCGGACTCGAGAGCCCCTAGGAACTGTGCGAGCCACGGGGTATGTCCTTGCCCAAAGAATGTCCCTCATCCATTCTCTCACTTCCCGATTCCTAGTCCCCATTTTTCTTACTCCAAAGAAGTGAAATGTGAATGAGCCCAGGACCATTTTCTATAACCTCCTAGGTATTATATTAAGTAGACAGGAAGCTTCTTGAGAACATTAGTTTATTCAACACACATTTATTGAGACCTGCTATGAGGCAGGTATTGCATTGCCTTGTGAGAGACAGATGAATACAGCCTGGTGCCCGCCTCCAGGAGCCTATGTGCGTACCCTGCCACCCAGACAACTTGGCCCTGTGCAGAGTAAGAGCTGCATCGACTAAGGTCTTATTGTAGACTGAGCACACCTAGCATCACCTGTCTCAGGTTTTCTGCCTCCGTTTCCCATTTTATCCCACGAATTTCTCCTGGTGTGAAGCTTGGAAGTCCGTATGGCCTCCCTTTTCAAGCTTTATTTTTTTATCTGTTTCCATTTCCATGTCCGGCCCAGCTTCCTTCCATAATATCTCACATCCAACCTTTCCTCTTCATTCCTACTGTACAACCCAAAGTCCAGGCCCTCATCGCCTCAGCCTGGATTCTGAAAACAGACTATGAATGCTTTCAGGTACTGCCCTGGATTTTTCTTTCTAAATCACCACTTTCTTCATGTTTCTCCCCTTTTCAAGGAGTGGAAATACGAATGGCTCTCCAGGGTCTACGGGACAGCACCTGACTCTCCACCCTGGATTATAAACCTTTCCAGAATCCGATCCCAGTCTCGTTGGGTGCTCAGTAGCAACCCTGCACTGCCCGTTCACTGATGTTAGCTGCTTGAGTCCTGGCTGTTTCACCGTCCTGGAAAGCACCCCTTCCCTAGGCTTCCCTAACCAGTCCTGACCTTGCTGAGGGCCCAGCTCTAACCCCTGATCTTGATCTTTGCCTAGACCGCCAGGTGCTGGGAGGGGATCTTCATCTTTTCTCTTTCTCTCCTCTTCTCCACTTCCTCATCTCCCTAGATTTCTTTAAACCTTGATTGAGCACCTACTATGTACGTATATGTTAGGCACCAAAGAGACAAAAGTAAGTAATAGAGGGTAAACTCCTTGAGAGCGGGACCACGGCTGTCATTTCCATCTTGCATTCTCAATGCCTTGCCCAGTGGATCTCTGTGGTACTTGTAGCTTACCTATGCTAGATTGTCTCCTGAAAACTGTAGTTACTGTAGGAAAATTGTTTTTACATTGTAAACTACTGAGTAGGCAGGTATTGTGCTGAGCACACCATACAGAAGGCCTTAAGGGAGAAATAGAGGGGAAACTTTGAAGGAGTCAGGCTTTATGGGACAAAAATAACTGAGTTATTCATGAAGACCTACTTTATGCCAGGCCTTTGAATGTAACTACAATGCTAGTTAGCTCCTGTTACTTACAGATTACAGATGAACTGAGGTTCTAAGGAAAGAAGTTACATGACCAGAGTCACACAGTGAGCCCAGGTGTGATTCAAGGTCACACATTGGGCCCAGGTATATTACAAGGTCATGCAGTGAGCTTAGGTATAATTCAAGGTCACACAGTGGTCGCAGGTGTAATTCAAACTCAAATGTCTTTGGTTGCAAACCCTGTTTTCTTGTCATTATTCCACGCTGGCTATTGAATTAAGGGACTGAAATCTGGATTTTGATTCTCAAACAAGTACTCGCCCACCAATCAGGTAGCCCCCTCAGAGCATCTAAAGAAAGGCAGAAGATCTTTGGAGTGAAAAGCAATTTCTTGGTTCTTCCCTACGTTTACATAGCTTCCTCCCAGCTGGAGGTCAACACCACCAGTTAGGGTTTGCAGTGAAGTCCAATACTGGCTATCATGGGGGGTACAAAAGAAAGGAGTTATAATAATTATTGGCACTTATTATTATATAACTAGTCATGAATTATATAATAATTATTTTATTATATAAGTAGGTATATATTATAAATAATATTTCTATTGTTATAGAGTTAATAATAGCTAACTTTCATTGAATGCAAACATGTATCAAGAGCTTACAGGGTTATGTGATTGAATCTCAACAGTAGTCAGTCCTATGAGATGGGGCCATATCAGACCCATGTGAAGGGGAGGCGGTCAAGGAGGCCACGGTCATAAGTGGTGGAGCGGGGACATCAGGTCCAGCAGTCCTGTTTCAGAGCCGTATCCTAAGGTCCTTTACTACTGTTCTCGG